GTTGGCTTCCGTTCCCTCCGTCATAGCCCCCATGTATAGACAGACCCACACAGTAAGGAGTTGCTATGGGGAAGCTATTCAAACGGAAATTTTCCCGGGGACAATTCTTTTAAATGTTTTATGTATGTCATACTTTGTTTTGCAAATAACGACAGTAAAAGGCGGTCTTTTCATCCGACTTTGGTCAGCCTTTTCACAGCCTTTTCAGCGCTTGCCATACAAAAGAGTCCGGCAGTAATACCCTTTTATTGGGCGATGTATACCTGATGTAAATTTTCAATACACACCTTTATCACAACATTTACCTATCATTGGATTTATTGAAAGTGTAAACTATCGGTTCATACACACCAGTGTGCGAATCCCCCGAGTTCTGTTATGCAGTCTACCTGCTAACCAAACAAAATTCACAGATGCTGTCTGTCAAATTTCTCCACCACTCAAAACACATAGAAATACCCCTTTTTTCATTGACTGAATGTATATGAGATTTTGCAAGGATCAGTGATGCATTATAATTATCACCCTTGAATAGAGCTCTCTTTCAAATGAGGTGAGATTAATTTCAATATGTTATTCAGCTCAAATTTGGCGTAGCTTGCAATGGTGTCATTAATGGAGAATAAGCTGACACCTATGGTAACCAAACAAAGAATGGCTCTGTTCAATATCAACACAAAAGAGCACCCACAACTACAAAAACATCAGATTCTTAAGATTCCGATGACCCCATCAAAATCAGATTAATCCATGTGAATACTTCGGTATACGTGAAGGTTTTTCATGTTCCTAGATAGGTGTAATGTGTTTAAATCTACTGCAATTACATCTACCTACAAGTACAACTATCTCTTCTCTTGGGGGTTGGGGGTGGGTGGTGAACACATACCTGTAATAACAATAGGAGGGACGAGACTGGGTAGATAGAAATCACCAGTGGCTCAGGACAGCTTTAAAATGGTAGAAGCTTCAGGATACACTTCGAGTTTAGAGATTTTTAAGTTACAATTTTGTCTGGCCCATTACATCTTCTCCACCCTATTTACAACTGTACGCTTTTTTCATCATTTATTTTGTTACCTGCATTTTCAATCATACACTCTGAAACGTTTTACCATTCAATTATTTATAGACACCAGGCTTGATTTGCTCTTCCAGTGATCCGGGGATCTTTGTCTTAAATCCTCTGTTCCTGAATAGTTTAAGTAAAAGCTTGATCGCTATCATATTCCATCATCTTATTTTCTATTTTCAAATACCTGTATAAGGCCCTCCAAGTTTCCAAGTTGATTCTCTCCATGGGTCATATGACCGCCAATGACTTCCTCGGCGATTCATGTCAACATTTTTGTTCCAACGAATCTCGCATCTTTCGGAAAAAATCCAATTTCCGCTGCCACCATTTAATTGACAGAAATGCGTACCTTAATTCTCAAATCATCGTCACTATAACTTCGTAGCACCAAAATGTAAACAAAACTGTCCTCATGGTAGTAAACAACAGTTATTTAAAGCCAGAGTTCTAATATCATATCGGACGGATAACTGTTATCTTCGCATTATTTATTGTTGTCCAATGAATAAGAGTCCAGTTGTATCGATAGCCCAATATCTACAGACTTAAATTGGTCTTGTAGATTATACCTTCATGGCAAATATCCAACACCTGTTTAAGTCCCTTTGGAATTAAACGACTCAGGGGAAATTCTTTAATATGAGGAAATCCTGATACCTGTATTATTATTAGATACAAGTATTATACATGCCAAGGATCATTCCAATGATTGGAAAATGATATGAAAATTAACAATTCCATCCGCAAAATGAACTGTTATCAGCTACTGGGATTACAGGAAAGCCGAGTTATATCATAGCTCAGCTGCAGGGAACCAAGTCATACAGATAAAGTTGTATTAATATCGTTTCTGGCTCCCAGTCCTCAATTCTCCTGAAAACTTATGTCAATTACCGTCCCTTTGGAACAAAAGTATACTTCCAACTACCCCAAGATATGTCATATCAAAACTTAAGACTCCTGGTCTCTGTCTAATTGATTTTAAACACACATAGATGTTCATGTGACGGTATTTAATACAAGGCGCCACCGAAAAGCCTGTGGTGGTGGAAACACTAGAAAGCGTTTTATTTAAAGGAGACAGATATCTCACCCCAAAGGTGGAGAGTTAATCCAGGGGGCTTAACTCTTGTAGGGTAACCAGGTGTAACATATGTACTTGTACAGGAATCCAGTTTTTAGTTAGATTATCAAATCAATAAGATACCACAATTGTTGACTGAAGAATAGCGTGTACTATTTAGTATTTACGAACTGGATTAAATCAATGTACATGTTTTCTTTAAAGTTTGACTCTGCGGACCTTGACACCATAAGGATCAATAATGTATAATATGTGGGGGATGGGGTAGTGGTGTGGTGAGGGGGTTGTCAGGGGAGGGGGTATGGATGGTATAGATACCACAGCAGACCTGAACCAAAGATCCTCAAAGTCGTACAAAGGAATCTAGATGAAACAATATATATCATCAAAATTTTAAGCATTGTTATTCTATTTGTGAAACTCAAATCAGAAATCTTAAAGTCCTGGAAATAGGAAATAGGAAATCAGTTGTCCTTGAAATCAAGATGATCAGTATCACCAATAAAAAGGATATCATCTCTTTCAAGATAAAATAAACAATTTATCCATGTTTAAGGATCCCTGTACCTCTGACAATAATAAAATAAATTGAAGTTCTTATTTACCGCTGTATCAAAACCTCGTTTGTAGGTTGTCTCAAAGTGGTTCACAAATTATTATCCATGGTTATAGGGCCTTTGCAACAAGCCAATATCTTTCTCAACTCCCTGGGGTGCATACAGCCGGTGCTGCCATTTCTGCGCTCACAGTTAGCATTCTATAATTCTAGCACTGCCCAACCACATACTCATTTACAGCTGAGTAGACTGGAACAAGCTGAGTACAGTATCTTGTTCAAAGATACAATAAAGTGCAGTGCCTTGACTCGAACCCGCAACCCTTTGGTCACGAGCCCGGTGTCCTACCACTAGACTACCTTGCCTCCTTACAACCAATTTTGCAGTGGAAACTTTAATCTCCTGAATGTGTTGGGAGTGAAAATGGAATTGAGACCAGCCTAGAATTTTAACCCTTGACACCTGGTTATTATATTGTAACTCTAACTAACTGAACAACTTGGTTAACTATAGCATCCTTATAAACAGATTCCAGTTGTGTTACAGTTACATCCAAAAAGAAACGAAGGTGAGGTTAATACTCAATGTACGTAAGAAAATCTACCATAGAATTCTCTAGTGTTTTGCCTGCAATTTGATAAGTTCACCCCTGAAATTCCATAATGAACTATTCCATCCTTTGAATTGGAAGAGTTCAAATGTGTCTTCAGGGGTGAATGAGTTAAACTTAATTCAATGCACATGCTGTCCTTTAGATAAAGATAATTAATTGTTTGTAAAATTTGTTTTTGGAGGAAATACAGAATGCCTGTCTGTCTGTCTGCACCATATATAAGCTATAGCTGTGCTAGCCACCTAGATTTTAGATACAGGTTGGACACACTGTCACAGATATAACTTTCATGCACATTTATCAAGACATCAAGCTTTATATCCATCACTTTGATACAGTCTATATTAAGACATCATTCTCTTTATAAGTGTACACTGTTTTGAATGAATTTTCAGGGAATTTCCTCTTTTGCCAGATCTCTGTTTAAGTTTGACATAACAAAACAAAAGCATAACTAATTTAACAATTTGTTTGTGTTTTACGTCCTTTTGACAGCTATATAGCCATTTAAGAATGTGCCAGGTTTTGGTGGTAAAGGAGTCCCGGGGGCCTCGAGAAAAAAACTTATCTGCTGTCGGTATATCTGGCTACTGCCCAATGTAAACCTCAAATTACTCTTAACAAAACATTAATATAAGTACAACTTTTCCTGATCTGAGGACATCCTCAAGTTACTTGAGGAATGTTTATACATGTAAGCCATATTTGAGGAAATCTCAGCTAAGGAAATCTCAACTTGAGATTTTTTTATACAAGCGGGGCCTGTTATGTATCTTTTAGCACTGAAATTGTGCTGTGATATGTCCTATAGCATGTATAATGACTGTTGCTGACAAAAATGTAACCATGGATTTCATTGGCTGATACAGCAGAACAATATAACATCAACTGCTGCTCTAAGTCAGCCTAGATATATACAGGGATGGAAGATTTATGGGGTTAACCCTTTCACCACTGTAGACCATAATGGACTCATCCATATCAATGTGTGGTAGAGTCTACTAAAGTTACATAGGGGTGAAGGGTTAAAGGGCTAAACATTGTTCTAAAATCGTTTCAATGAGGAAAATTGAAAGATTGTATAACACTAAAGTTCAGAAAGTATCGTATAGTTTTGAGGGCCATACATGAAGGAGAGTATGAACTGCTGGTTTCTACAAAACCTAGATTGATTGTATATCAATAAAATATTCTTTTGTGTCAGTTGAACCAAGTAATTAAAAGGGTGCCTCCGTAGACGTGATCGCGAATGTGCACAGTCAATGTATTACTGTGTGCAAACAAGTGTGAGCTTCAGACCACTCGCTCCCCTGAGAATTCCAGTTTGATCCCCAGCGGTGGCGGAAAAAGAGAGTGATGTCTGATAGGGTTAGTTGTTATCCCTCCGATGGCACGGTGGTTTTCCCCCGTAGATTTTCCTCCATCATGAAAAACATCATTTGTTCCCTAAGCGACGTCGTAATAAAAGCTCTACAGAGCTTATGTTTGTTGTTGACAATTGAACACGACATTAAATAAAGATTATCATTATTATTTTATTATCATAATTTATTAAGCCTCCACTAAACCGGATGTCTCACAATCCATCCAAACCTTTTAGGGGACACTTTATATTTTTATCTCTTTAAAACCATAAATGACCAGATTAACAAACTTGACAGGCATACCAACCTTGACCTTGACCTCGATAGGAGTAGTCCCCCTTGTTGAAGTCTGGGAGTGATCGCCGTGAGGGGGGAGGCTGTACAGGAGAAGGTGTGTATCGCCGTCGGGCACTGAGGGATCGCGGTCGTCTTGTTGTGTAATCGTTGTTTAATAAATGCTCATGCTGAAAAGATAAACAAGTACGGTTTAAATGAGATATAGTTTATACAAAATATTTTGCTTTTTATTGATGGAACTATATAAATCCATGGTACTATATTAGTCCATGCTATAATATTAATCCATGATACTATATTAATCCATGGTACTATATTAATCCATGCTATGATATTAATCCATGGTACTATATTAATTAAGCCATGCTATGATATTAATCCATGGTACTATATCAATCCATGCTATAATATTAATCCATGGTACTATATTAATCCATGCTATGATATTAATCCATGGTACTTTATTAATCCATGCTACGATATTAATCCATGGTACTATATTAATCCATGCTATGATATTAATCCATGGTACTATATATATTAATCCATGCTATGATATTAATCCATGGTACTATATAAATCTATGGTACTATATTAATCCATGGTACTATATTAATCCATGCTATGATATAAATCCATGGTACTATGTTAATCCATGCTACGATATTAATCTATGGTACTATATTAATATCATAGCATGCATTAATATAGTACCATAGATTTATATATTACCATGGATTAATATAGAACTATGGATTAATATAGGACCATGGATTAATATAGTACCATGCTATGATATTAATCCATGGTACTATATTAATCCATGCTATGATATTATTCCATGGTACTATATTAATTCATGCTATGATATTAATCCATGGTACTATATTAATCCATGCTATGATATTAATCCATGGTATTATATTAATCCATGCTATGATAATAAGCTTATGTCTGTTAATAAGCCCATCCACATATATAATGCAGTTCAGTAGAAATGCCAATAAATGTTAATTCATTGTCCTGTAAGAAGCCCACCCTCTTACTGTCAATAAGAGATTATATGTTGACCCTTCGGGTTTATTGCAGGACAAATACTGCAATTTTTTCAGTGAATGAGTTAATCATTCCTGAGTTCTAAACTAAAATGTTTGTCCTCCTCTCACATTTTCCCACAGTAAAAGTATTGCTTAGTTAAGGAAACATCTTCACTGAAGCTCGGAGAAACATTAATTGAACTGGGGGGCTATTGATTAAACTGAAGGGAAATTCTATCTAGTCCGGGCAGTACCAAGCAACCTGAAGGGTCATCTCTTTGAAGAAAATTCATGTTGGTATATTTTTGATTGCTATTAAAATCTCATAAACAACAAAAACTATTCAAATAGACATGACATTCATCCATTCATTGTAAACTATTACAAAATAGTGAAATCTGGATATAACGCCTTTGCTTTTATAAAGTAAAACCTTCATATGTTACGCCCCTTGTTTCTACACAATAAAACCTTGATATAATGCCCTTTTGTTTCATTTTTTTACTGCTTATTTAACTTAAACATTTCCTTTCAACTATGTTCAAACCTCTTTATTATGCCATTATTTTACAAGAGAAATGGAGCCAGTATAACAAAGTTTTACTACCTAATCTACAGGACACATTTTCTATTTCTTTAAATACGAAATTTTCCTTCTTTACCTGGTATGTTGTCAAACTCCTTATAATGCCAACACTAGACAATTGATGGCAGTATAACAAGTTTTGCCTTGTAACATATTATTTCTTAGATTTTAACCTACCTTGATTTTATCCAATAGTTCTTGTCTCCTCAACATAATCTGCTGCATGTGTAACTGTTGCTCCAAATCATTGTTACCTGTCAACAGAAGAAGACAACTTTAGAGCTAATTCAAAAACAAGAGGCCCATCTGACCTGTATTGCTCACTGGATCTCTAATAACTACAGACAAGAAGTTGTGTTTTGATAGAAGAATGGTATAAGTTTAATTGTAAGGGTTTTGCCTCCTTTTACCAATATAATGTGCACATGTCAGTAGATGATGTGAATTGCTGGAAAGAGTTGGTATAACACCTCATATCATTGTGATACAATATACCTAGAGAAAAATCCATTTGTTTAGAAATATGGAGCGAGTTATAAGAAATTTGGATGAAACTTTGGTGGGGAATGTGTGGACAAGACAATTTTCCAATCATCTTCTCTTTTTTTTTTTTTTTACCTGTAACCTTGACCTTGAATATATGACTTCGTCATTCAATTGCTCTAAGAGAAAACTGTTAAGAACATTTTTTTAAGCTTCCTGAATTTGATAGGACACGGAAGTCAGAATCTAAACTGTGGTCATGGCAAAGGTACAAATTTCCAATCATCATGTTCAGATTTTGTAGCTTTGACCTTGAACTTGAATTTCAAATTGGCTTTAGAGATTGATTTGTGAAGTGTCATAAAATTTGGTTACACATTTGACTCATAAGCTAGTGACAGATGGATTGGAAGGACAGGATGATGCAAACATACGTTCCACTGAAGGTGGACATATTGAAACAAGAAATTTTAGAGAAATCTTGGCACCAACCAACCATTCAAAGATCACAATATTTCTCTGTATGTAGTATAGGTTATGCTCGTATTTCTCTGTTCTGTTGCAGAACTTGAAGAGGTACTGAGGGGATCATGCAACATGATTTTTGAGGGGCTTGTTCTACGGTTCCAATCAATTATAACATGCAGCGCGCCCAACAAAGGACAAACAGTACATTCATACCCAATTCTATCTTGATCTCTTGAGAAAAATATCGGCAAATAACTTAACATGCAATATCTATACAACATCCAAAATAATCTGGTGGCCATTTTGATTTTTTTGGGTTTCTTTATTCATGATCAAAATTTCAAACTGGCACAACTATTGTTTCATCTTCATCCCTTAAGTTGTTTCTGAGAAAATCGTCGTGTTGACAAAAATTGTTTACAGACGGACTGTCAGACTGAATGACAGACTCACAGAAAGATGGCGGAAAACGTTGGAAAAGCAATTTGAACCAAAAACTACTTCATAATCTCCCTCTGGTATTTAACATAATCTAAGATTATAAAACACTAGGTTCGAAATCTGTATGTATACATATCAAATATTTTCAAGTTTGTATTTGCCAATTCAATAAATTGAAATGACATGAAACTGCACTATATGTAGAGTCTGTTAACCTCATTCAAACTATTTCATATACATTTTAACCCTAGTTACTATATTTACATTTTATCCTTTTTTTTTTTACAATTTTTGAACAATATGATATTATACTTTTCGCTTTGTACAACATCTCTTCCTATTCAAGTATTTAATATTTGCACCCCTTGGGTAAATATATAGGGACTACACAATGACGATGATGGATGGGACTGTATTCTAAAGTTAGCCCTGTCAATGTTGTCTGTTGTTATGTATTAAATCCTTATAACACTAATACAATATTTTATCTTGTGTATTGTTAAAGCAAGGAGAAAAGGAAACTCATTTTTTCACATTTATAAAGATTTCTTTGATGTGAATAAATACAGTTTGGCACTAAAGAGGCCCTTTAAGTAAACTGACATTAACCTATTAAAGGTCATGACATGAAAAGCAAAGACCGTGGCTTTGAAGTTATCATTACTGTTATCGTGCAAAGGAGAAAATATAATTTTCTTATAACTTTATCCTAGTGACCTTTATATGACCTCGATATTGTTGCTTTGTCATGATGACTGTGTGAACGCCTGTAGGAAGATTGATGATTTTGTATTTATAGCTGCATACAAATTTGATGTTGTTAAAAAACGATTCTATATGTGATGTCATTTGTGGTCTTGTCTAGAGCTCCAAACTATGCATAGGACTTTGTTATTTTGATGAATAACTATATTAAAGTTTTTCTTGTATATAATTATATATATATTTTTTTATAAACTTACTTTAGAAAAAAAAAAAAAATTGCTTCAAAAATCTTCAATGTACTACATGTAATACAAAGAGACCTTGACCTTTGACCGAAGTTCTCTGTGTTAAGGTCATTTATTCAAACAAACTTGATCGACTTTCATCCAACCGTGCCACGGACGAACTTTCATAATCTTATAGACCTCCCAATGGCTGTTCAGGTGTTTAAAAGTTAATTCATATTTAACCCTTGTGACCTAAAAAGATGGTCAAGGTAATTCATTTGAACACACTTGGTAGACTTTCATCTTATCATGACAAAGGCAAACTTTCATAACCTTATAGACATATTTATTATTCATGTGTTTAAAAGTTAATACATATGCTACCCGTGTGACCTAAAAAGAAGGTCAATGACATTCATTTGAACAAACTTGATCATATTCGTTCATCCATGCACCTGACAAGCCAAATGTCATTCTAGGATTCTTGGTTATTCAGAAGGAGGTTCTAACAATTTGCTCCCTATTATCTTGAGAGTGGATCAAGGTCAGTTTCCTAATGAAAATTGATAAACCTTAATTATCATGGTATCTGACTGTCTAAATATCACCATCACAGAACACTCAGTTGTTCAGAAAGAGTTGTTTAAAAGGAGGCATGGTAGTCTAGTGGTAAGACCCCAGGCTCATGTGACCTAAGGGTTCCTGGTTCGAGTTACGTCACGGCACTGTGTTGTATCCTTGAGCAAGATACTTTACTCTGACTATTCCAGTCTACTCAGCTGTAAATGAGTATGTGGTTGGGCAGTGCTAGAATTGTTGAATGCTAGCTGTGAGCGCGGAAATGGCAGCACCGGCTGTATGCTCCCCAGGGAGTTAAGAAAGACATATTGGCTGGTTGCAAAGGCCCTATAACCACGAAAATAATTTGTGAACCGCTTTGAGACGAACTACGAACTAGGTAGTGATAAAACGGTATATAAGAACCTCGGATTATTATTATTATTTAAAAATTTAAACATATTTGATTGCTGTGACCTTGATAGTTGGGCAATGAGAGCATAAAAAAGGTTCAAATATCCATTAGTTTTTTCTGAATAAAATAGACCAAAAGGTCAAATGATGAGTATAGTGTAGCTGAGTATTACAACATTACATAAGTACAAGAATGAAATATGACGACCTGTATGCTTAAATCTAACCTCTACACAGTACAACCTTGAGTGTTCAAAGGGACTTATTACAATCTGGGTATTCACAGAAAATAGATTCAACAAAGATTCTATTAAAAGTAATCTATGTGAAATTTTTAAACTGTATTTTTTAAGGTCAAATCTGCAAAGAAAATATCTAAAAAATGTTTTTAATGCAATGTTGATATATAATTGCATCCTTAGAACCACGGTTTTATTTTCGTCAGTTCATGTTTTCTATTAAATTCACAGGAATACATTCCCAGGGTAGATTTATACCCTGCACAGGTGTCGTATGTTACTGGTGATAGTATAAGCCCATGTTCCCGAATAAGCCCACACTTACATTGCTTATTTAGCAAGGTAGATTGATAGGTACAATATATCTAACTCACAATATACCCGCACTCCACAATTATACCATATAAGTTGTTTACTCCTTTATTTAAGAAAGTAAATGCATAGGAATTGTATATTTAGCAGTATATGTCAATATTTACATTTGCACTGTAAGTTCCTCTTTAAGTATTACCAGAAGAAATTGTGATCATAGAGCTATGAATGCAGAGTGATCCGTATCATTTTGAAGCTTCTCCTCCCCACCTTGAATAACATGACAAAACTTTTGGAAGCAAAATTATTTCGGTAATGTTATCCTTTTCCAGAAATCTTGTCACTGACACACAGGCACTTCAATATCGAAAAATATAAGGCAATATTTGTATTTAGGTCGATACCCAGGTAATAACTAAAAATTAGGAATATATATATAAGTTGCTCCCTTTTTCTTCATTTTGGAAAAATTAAGCACTTTATTGCCAGGGGTAGCAGCCTGTATTTGGCTGTTAACCCTTTTACCCCTAGGTAACTTTAGTAGACTCTTCCATTCATTTATCTCGGTGAGTCGATTGTGGTCTACAGTGGTGAAAGGGTTAAACTATGCAATTACAGTGGCTGGTAATGAACTCAAATCTCTGCCTTCTTTACTTGTCAGTAAGTTCTTGAAACATTAACACAGGTGTCAACCTCTGAAACGTCAAATGAGGGAGATCTCCCTCATTCCACATTTCCAATGAGAGAGATCTCCCTCATTCCACATTTCCAATGAGGGAGATCTCCCTCATTCCACATGTCCAATGAGGGAGAGAGTCCGTGAAATTGCTTTGCTCAATTTATCTGTCCCTTTTTCTGTACCAAAATAACTCCAAAAAGCATTTATTTGATTCAGACACACCTGTTATGACTATTACAACCACCCTGTAGTAACAAGGGAGATTGGTAAATTTCGATGAAAATGAGGTAGTGTCCCTCCTAATGAGGGAGGGTTGACAGCTATGCATTAATGATGTTTGTGATCCAATCTTACCAGCATACTGTTGTCACCACGTTCTTATCCTCACGGCTTTGACCACCCAGGGCTAACTCAAACTGCTTGCCAATATAAAATTGATTGTATGTTCCTGTAATTAGCCTGTCTAGTGGTGAGTTGACAGTACGGTATACAGAGGAGGTAGTCCTATCTTACTGTCGGAGTGTCAATACATACTGACATTTACCACGGGGACGGGCCAATACACTGACCTAAACCAGCATGGTTACCAGATATAATCCATAGTCTTATTAATAATGCTTTTGAATTTGTCCCCCATTGCTTTTAAAATAGCCACAATGTGATGATGTGAGGTGTATAACTATTGGTTCATGTATGTTAGGTGTAGGCCTATTGTTTCTTGCTTGTGAGGTGTAATCCATTGGTTCATGCTTGTGAGGTATAATCTGTTGGTTCATGCTTCTGAGGTGTAATCCGTTGGTTCATGCTTGCGAGGTGTAATCCATTGGTTCACGTATTTTGAGATATAATCTTATGGGTTCATGCTTGTGAGGTGGAATCCATTGGTTCATGCTTATGAGGTGTAATCCATTGGTTCGTGCTTGTGAGGTATAATCTGTTGGTTCATGCTTGTGATGCCACAATGTGATGATGTGAGGTGTATAACTATTGATTCATGTATGTTAGGTGTAGGCCTATTGGTTCATGTATTTTGAGAAATAATCTTATTGGTTCATGCTTGTAAGAGTGTGGTGTAATCCATTGGTTCACGTATTTTGAGATATAATCTGATTGGTTCATGCTTGTGAGTTGTAATCCATTGGTTCATGCATATGAGGTGTAATCCATTGGTTCACGTATTTTGAGATATAATCTTATGGGTTCATGCTTGTGAGGTGTGATCCATTGGTTCATGCTTGTGGTAATGAACTCAAATCTCTGCCTTCTTTACTTGTCAGTAAGTTCTTGAAACATTAACACAGGTGTCAACCTCTGAAACGTCAAATGAGGGAGATCTCCCTCATTCCACATTTCCAATGAGGGAGATCTCCCTCATTGGAAAACACCTCACAAGCATGAACCGATGGATTACACCTCACAAGAATGAACCAACGGATTATACCTAACAAGCATGAACCAATGGAATACACCTCACAAGCATGAACATGGATTACACCTCACAAGAATGAACCAACGGATTATACCTCACAAGCATGAACCACTAAGATTAGATCTCAAAATACATGAACCTATGGATTACACCTCACAAGCGTGAACCAATAAGATTATATCTAAAAATAAATGAACCAACGGATTACACCTCAGAAGCATGAACCAACAGATTACTCCTCAGAAGCATGAACCAACAGATTCCACCTCACAAGCATGAACCACTAAGATTAGATCTCAAAATACATGAACCGATGGATTACACCTCACAAGCGTGAACCAATAAGATTATATGTCAAAATACATGAACCAATAGGCCTACACCTAACATACATGAACGAATAGTTATACACCTCACATCATCACATTGTGGCATCACAAGCATGAACCAACAGATCATACCTCACAAGCATGAACCAACGAATTACACCTCACAAGCATGACCCAATGGATTATACCTCACAAGCATGAACCACTAAGATTAGATCTCAAAATACATGAACCAACGGATTTCACCTCACAAGCATGATCCAATGGATTACACCTCACTAGCATGAACCGATGGATTACACCTCACAAGCGTGAACCAATAAGATTATATCTAAAAATAAATGAACCAACGGATTACACCTCGCAAGCATGAACCAATGGATCACACCTCACAAGCATGAACCGATGGATTACACCTCACAAGAATGAACCAACGGATTATACCTAACAAGCATGAACCAATGGATGATACCTCACAAGCATGAACCACTGGATTACACTTCACAAGCGTGAACCAATAAGATTATATCTAAAAATAAATGAACCAACGGATTACACCTCGCAAGCATGAACCAACGGATTACAAATCCCAAGCATGAACCAACAGATTATACCTCACAAGCACGAACCAATGGATTACACCTCAGAAGCATGAACCAACAGATTATACCTCACAAGCACGAACCAATGGATTACACCTCGCAAGCATGAACCAATGGATCACACCTCACAAGCATGAACCAAAGGATTACACCTCACAAGCATCCATCGGTTCATGCTTGCGAGGCGTAATCCATTCGTTCATGTATTTTGAGATATAACCTTATTGGTTCATGCTTGTAAAGTGTAATCCATTGGTTCATGTTTGTGAGGTGTAATCCATTGGTTCATGCTTGTGAGGTGTAATCCATCGGTTCATGCTTGTGAGGTGTAATCCATTCGTTCATGTATTTTGAGATATAATCTTATTGGTTCATGCTTGTGAGGTGTAATCCATCGGTTCATGTATTTTGAGATATAATCTTATTGTTTCTTGCTTGTGAGGTGTAATCCATTGGTTCATGCTTATGAGGTGTAATCCATTGGTTCATGCTTGTGAGGTATAATCCATTGGTTCATGCTTATGAGGTGTAATCCATTGGTTCATGCTTGTGAGGTATAATCTGTTGGTTCATGCTTGTGAGTTGTAATCCATTGGTTCATGCTTGTGAGGTGTAATCCATTGGTTCATGCTTGTGAGGTGTAATCCATTGGTTAATGTATTTTGAGATATAATCTTATTGGTTCATGCTTGTGAGGTGTAATCCATTGGGTCATGCTTGTGAGGTGTAATCCATTGGTTCATGTATTTTGAGATATAATCTTATTGTTTCTTGCTTGTGAGGTGTAATCCGTTGGTTCATGCTTGTGAGGTGTAACCCATTGGTTCATGCTTGTGAGGTGTAATCCATTGGTTCATGTATTTTGAGATATAATCTTATTGGTTCAATTCCCTACCCTGTCAGTGTTAATGACTGAATATGGACTCGGCATTCATTTTAACCACAGGTGTCAGGACATAAATTCAGATGTAAATACAAATACAAGTATTTGACATGGTTTCCATAAAAGAATGAATGTGCAGAGTGCTTTTTTGAGAAGGCATGGCTGTGTACTTAAACTTGTTCATTGCTTGTCAGCTAGAATAGACGTCAATATCACCTCTTTGTGACATTCAAGCACAAATTGTTGATATCAACCAAACTGACCCTTTAATCCCTCAAGTTCTGCATTGTGTGTTTCAACAAAACAGTGTATCATTACCGAGCCAGAACAAGAGTGCATATAATGGCTTCTGTCTGACACAGCCTTTTTGTAGAATTTGTTTTGTGATGCATCAGAATTTCACAAACAAACAAGACAACAACAAAATGTAATACCGAGGTACTTACTTTCTGTAGAAGGGGGTCTTTGTTTCTCTCTTTCATTTGCTATTTTCTGAAAAAAAAAGACAAAAAATGTTTTATACAATATGTTGATCATTGAGCTGTAGCAATGAAGTGACACTCAACCACAATATCACACATACTTGCACCAATGTCTAGAATTAAAGCATTATACCTCTGTGGGTTGAAATATATATGTCACTTGAATAATCTTATGTTCTTCATTAGCACAAAAAATAGGCTAAGATGTTTAAATACTACAATTGAGAGCACTTTTATGGTTTATTAATGTTGATATTTCAAGGCCAAGCCAAAACATATCATTGTTTCTTTATTACATAACATAAAATCGTGAAAATAAGCCACACCTTATTTTTCATTTTAAATAAGGAATCCCAGGAGAGTTATAGTAGCCATCAAAGGTTTATTTTCAAGGACTTTCTTTGTGTAATGGAAAATTGTAGCCGTGTGCAGGTTTTTTTTTAATGTCACTGTTAATTTCTTTTATCAAGTTGTTGCAATCATAAGTTACAAGTATGTTATGTGATTATTTCCCATAGAACCTGTTTAGGCCAACAGTGATAATGTGGCTAATACCTTGAATCCAATACATACAGATGGCTTATTTTTGAGTGGTATGATTGACTGCAAGGAATCCAAGACTTATTTTCAAAGCCGTGTTATTTTCAATTCAGGCTTATTACTGTACAACACAAAATGTTCGTGGGTACTTTCCTTCATGGTTTGAAGCCTTTCAGATCGTTTCGTGGTACAAACTTTCGTGGATATCCTATATTAACAAACAGTAGACGTGTAAATCATTCAAATTTGTTTGTATTTATTTTCGTGGTTCAATAGCAACCACGAAAACCACGTATGTTTATACGAAACGAACATTTCGTGTTATACAGTATGGAAATTTTAGGGTGCCTCCTTTGTATCTTCAGATTGGAAGGAAAAGTTTTCTATTCTTAAATTCCTTTTCAATCAGATTGCCCTAGAGTATTTAAAAAGTCCCTCTCAACAATGAAAATTAATGTTGTCCAAAATGCTCTAGGACTGGCGAAGAAATAAGTAGGCAAATATTTGAACAGACATGTTTTATAATACGGAATATGATGCTAAGATTTATTCTAGATAATTGGTTACAGTTTTCTTCTATTTATCAAGATATGTATATACAATTTATCATATCTTCTGTATATATTCTGTATGTACTATATATTTATATGTCTTTTATTTGTGTGTCTGTATGAATGTCTGTAAGGCATGTTCTCGGACCCTTCTGGAAAGGGCTTTAATAGGAGATGCCTGTGCCTAATCTAATTGTATTCTTACTATGTAGGCAATAAATTTGATTTTAAAGGAACTGAAATGAATCACAATTAATAGCTTCTTTATCGTTAGTGGTAAATAAATCAAAGACAGAACAGAACTGAAAAGAATATACAAATCTTAAATCAGCAGCGAGATTGCTGTAATTACTGTAAGAAGTGACCACTCATGTAACTGACCCTAACACAAAAAAGTGACCACAAATGTATAATTGCTGAGTGACCATGCATTATATATCGATACAAAAATTATCGACATTTGTTTGGCCTAATTTTGGTCATTTATTTGAAACAGAAGATCCGTTCCACAGTGGTTTTAACCCTCTGAATATTCACAATCCTGAAACCTTAAGTTTTAATTTCGATTGCAATTAAATAACAATTTCCAGAAAGCTAATGAAATTTATTTAAACAGATGAAGCAAATTCTTATAATTTTCCTACAACTGATAAAAACAAGAATGTGACTTACAATTCATTGTGAAAACGCTCCATTGTCTCGAGACGGTCATATGTTTGAAAATAAATTCATTCATCACCAGCGTCTAATCTACGGACATAATTATATAAATTCTCCCGACTTTGTTATGCTGTATTTTGCCTTGGTGCTCTGTTGCTAGACAAACCCTGTTGACCCTACCCTACGACCCAAGTATGTGATTGTACGCCGTGACTGTCATGTTTTCCTTGGCGACACATTGAAAAGATCTACACATAAAAATCTTCATGCAGTATGGTATCGTTTCGAATTCAGTAGGTGTGAAATTGTGTGAAAAGGATGGCTTATCATTGGTCAAAGGTGTGTCTACAAAGCTCCGTGCCTCCAGCTGTAAAACCCCTTACAGAAAAAGCATCTACTGTGCATAATGGATTGACAAACAAACTCTCATCTTCGTGTACTCGACTACTTGATCTACGCGTACATATGTCATAGGTATACTTAGAGTCGTATATTTATATACACTCCTCAAATCTTAAATTTGATTGAAGGCACATGCTTGCTTATGCAAAAAATATAAATGTTTAGCCTACATTTTCAAAAACACTCATAGCATAAAAAAAAAAAAAAAAAAAAAATTTTCTAAATTTNTTCTAAATTGGGTGTAAAATGATCCTTGTATAATCTTATGGTAGAATTTATTATCTTTTATTGCAACAAAAATCATCATCTCCACCTAGCAACAAAAAACTCTCCACCTGCCGAATTTTACAAATGAACGTCTGCACCACACAATATTGCTGTAACCATAATTAAGCCTTTGATCATTGTATAATTAACAAGTGGAATTAAATCTATGATATCTTAATGACAAACAATACAGTTTTATAGGTATCCAGGGTCTATTTGACCATATATTGTAACAACAGAATTAATATCGAGAAGATAAAGACGTAATATACTTCCTGTGGAAATGTTTTTAAAGAAATTTGCTTCACCACAAGCTAGAAGGGAACTCACAATGGGCCTAATGTACCGTGGTGACTTTAATAAACTCAGATATCAATTTTCATTTTATACAACACTTTGAATAGATGTCTTTAAAATATTTTCTATATCACAAAACAAATACAACACAACAACTCGAAATGTTTACTCCAAATTCCATTCGTCCAATTTTCACATTTACACTTGAACAATATTTGATTTATATTTGTTTTATCATGTAAATTATTTACCATTTTAAAGGCGTTCCATTTTAAATGCTTTTTGAAATTTAATTGATTTTTCCTGTTTTCAATATTTTTAAATATCACGCTCTAATTTCTTATATACATATATACATATTTTCCAACATGCTGTTTTCTTCAACAACAGAGTGCAGTCAGTTGCTTTAACTTTGAGAAAATATTTTCATATAATTCACTTAGATATATTTCCACCTTTCTGTGGTTGAGGGTCAACTGTACATTTTGATGAACCAGACCGGTTGATGGGGAGGTCGACCAGACGGAGAGCAGTTTACCAATCCCTTATATGCCAGGGATTTTCCAACGTCCCGTTTTGGTACATGTATATCAAGGGTAAAATAAAATAGCACATTGGTTACAACAGTGTGTAAAACTCACCCAACTGAAACATTTCGGATCTGATCCTCTCCTATCCTACCTGTACTTGTATAGCTTTATTTTTATACTGTGTAACGTGAACATCTCACCTTTGGCTACAATGCAGAACATGCATCTATTAAAGGCAATGGGTTCTGTCCCTAGGCCAGAAAAAATATAAAAGTCTTTAAAAATGGGACTTATTATTCTCTGCTAAACGGTTAGCATTTAAGGGTAGTGCAATGACTGGTTTACCCATTATTGTCAGTACAATGTGACTGGGTGGCTGACGTACGATGCTTCAGCATGGTATTTTTATGAGGTGGCACTCTAAGTTGGCATCGGATCTGCACTATTGCAAGGAGACAATTACACCAACATACCATCTTCAGCACACATGCATACATCACACACGCCCTCAAATGACCGTAGCTGTTGATAAGATGCGTAATCCAGCTAAAACAGCGAGAGGTCTGAGGTTTATAAGCAAAGGCTCAGTCTGCCACAATGTGCCTGACCATACCCCCGCGGCCTGAATTTAGTAACAGTGACCTTGGACTTAGAATCTTTCACAAACACCTAATGCACATCTACATATCACAGTGTATCATTAATGTGTAATGTCAAAAAGATTAGTGTTTTGGATAATGAGACAATCTCCAGAAACAAAAGTGTGGACGAACAGAGAAATGGACAGACAAACAACGTGATAACTTAATATAGGACACCCGCATCACTGATCTGGGGCCCTATCAAACCAAACCGAACCAATCATATTTCATAAAAATCTGATACATACAAATGATACATTTAGCTATATATAAACTGAGCACTGCAAGGGAGATAACACAGGTTGACTTGGTCTAAAACAATTCTTGAATTAATTAAAATTCTGGGGTAATTTTTGGGATGTATCCCTGGCCTTCTAAGAGTCAGGAGTAAAGATGGATCGCAGATGAACTTCTGTGAACAAATGTTTCTGAAACACCTGATGATGTTCCCGATATCCACAGAACTTTAACACAAGATCAACCTTTCTGCAGGTGTGATTACCTTACACAGACTACCCCTTTTACAATAGTGTTCACCGGTGTATAGTATCGAATATTCACTAATCCCGTTGAAGATAGTCAATGTTCATTTCTCTTTTTATTTAAACAAACTTTGATGTCTTTCCAAAAAGCACTCTCCATCGGGTTCCAACTATTCAACACAATAACTAATAATTAGCTTTTGCATATATTTATTTTTTGCTTTTGTGATTGGTATTTTTTTTCACAATTAAAATAGAGTATGAATAAGCCTATGGATATCACAGCAGTTATAATGCAGATAACACAATGGTATTTAACAAAATATATGCTCAGAGAAAAACTAATTCAATTTGGAACTGAACATCTATTATATATTTTTCTATCAAAGATTTTGACCTGCTCATAAGTATTCTACACCAACATGCAACTGTGAAATTGAAACCATTGTACCAGGTACAGGATGTGAAAAGTATATAAAATAACTCACCGTACAAAAGTAGGAGTTTAAATCCTCACCAAATAATGAAGTGCAGACTTAGAGTTCTCGAAAGAAATTTAATTTTTCAAATTCAAAAGAATATATCTCGACATGAATATCATGCATTTCGTCTCCCACAAGGGTAGGCTCTACTTCACACC